TGCTAAGTATATGCATTGATGGGATGAGTCACGATGGTTAAACAGAGAAATGGCCGAGCGAATTGCTTTCACTTATCGCTGATACGTTGTAAGCCTATGCTAAGGATGGCGCCTTCTACTAATGCTGCTGGCAAATTTTAATGTACTAAGCCAAGGGCCCGATGCAGAAAATTGTCATAACTTGGTCATATTGGCAGGAAGACCTAGAGGAACGCACCTTGTCCGGAGTCTATAGTATGCATGATAATTTCCAAAGTCGGACAGTGGACTTGGTACATTCCCAGACGTTTCGCTTGGCTCTGAGAATGGCAAGGCTCACTGAAGATGCCGAACAATATGCGAAAACAAGGTCGAATAACTCTGTAACTTTAGCCTACTTTAGTTCAAACTTGAAGAAAGTTTTTAAATTGGTTATCTAATCCAGCAATAAAAACGGTAATTATTTTTCTTGATCTTTCTCCCTTTTAGATGCCTTTTAGCGGCACGACTCCAGGAGGCCTATGACCTAGTCGGACACAGTGAGAACGGAATATCTCCAAGCATGGCTGGTTATGAAAATGAAGCAAGTGATCATCCCTTGGACCAATCTCTTCCGCAACCAGAGGAGATGACGAAATCACATTTGATCAATGTAAGCCGGGGCTTTTTTTATCTTATTTTAATTACTTCCTATTCATTGTAGGAACAAGACGTAAAGCATTAAATAAGGTTTCTTAGATCTGAAGACCTAATATAATAGGGCCTTTTTTGATCTCAGACTCCTTTAGCTGTATAGTGTTAGTTTGACCTCGTTTACACAACTTGCTCGGGGCATTAGAAAGCAATCTTGTGGAACGTACCTAGTCCCGTGTCCTTTGCCATAGTATTCATAATTTCCAGTATCGGACCGTTAACTTGGTACATTTCCAGGCGTTTCGCCGGCATCGTCTTCGAGATGTGCCATCGTTTGCATGAAGTGAAAAGTGAAGACAATCCCCTTAACCATTATCATGTTTAACCATTGTAACATGAATTGCTTGCCAGCTGTTCATTGCCACACGAAAATCACTGTTTGACTGCCTTTGAGCCAGGATTAGGTATGTTCCACTATGTTCTGACCAAGTTGTGAACACGAGGCCAAACCAACACTTTAAAGCAATGTAGTTAGGACAGGTAACTTGTCTAAAATGTTACTTATTTATGCAAAATAATTCTAGCACTTAGAGCAAAAAGACACTAACGAATGAAGCTTTCAGAACAAAGAGGTTTCATTTGCCTCGTACACAATTAACTAGTCCCTTTTAGATTATGCTAGAAAAGTTAAAGATGAACTACAGCATCGATAAATGTATACCGAATGCAATGGTACAGAGATACGCGAAACTACTGAACTCGTCATGGAGCTCTACATAAGTTGGCTAACTTCAATTTTTTACTTTTGTAGTTGGGCTAGTTAGGTAATGGTATATGGTAAAGAATTATTACAGTTTTCCAGGAAAACGATGGATCTTGGATCCAAAACTAATTATTCAAAGGCGGGCATTTTTGGGGACTAGACATTCATACTATCGTATTAAAAATTGGGTCACTTGGTCCAGAATGCTCGGCCAATTTTCTTCAGATTTCTGAGGGTCAATTCCTAACTGAACAAGGTAATCACATTTGGTGGATGGTGAAAAGACTGCAGTATAACTTAAAGGGAATTGCCTGAGAGATGGAGATTTTAATGGTCAATTCTAATTATCAGCTCAAAGGGAACAAGCAAAATTGAAAGGGAAATCAAGACAATGTGGTTAAGGCAGTGAAGCACGCTTTTTCAGAGGTTTATATAACGAGATGATTATGGTTGACATGACTTCCTGGAACAGGCACACACTCAGGACTCAAGTATCTGAATAAGGTCCTATGTCGAAATGCTAAGCAGACTGAATTCAGTATGGGACTAGTTACTAAGATACTAAATGGATTGGCAAAGGAAGAGATGAGTAAGGATTAAGGGACCATATTTGACTTTTAAGTCCTACTGGCCATTATAAATGTAATTATGCTCTAATAATCTCCTTAATATGAATCTAAGCCCCTTAGCTATTGGAGAATGGAACAGTCGGAAGGAGTGGATAGCCTGAAAAGATGAACATTCACGAGTCGATTTTGAATTTCCATTTGAGTCACTTGTCCCTTCTCCAAATAAACCCGAATAAAATGGTGGAGGACACAACCTAGATTACATTTCCTGAAGTTGTGTAGACGTTTCCAAGCGTCATAAATACTATCAAATCAACCCAATAAAGCTCATTTTTCAAAGTTACTAAGGGCTCTCATTATATTCGCTTCCATAATTGCCAAATACTCTTTCATTTTCTATTTTGTATTGCTTAAATATATACTAATTCTCACTAATTCTTTTATAGATGAAGCTTCCTATATTACAGTTAGAAACCTTTGGCAAAACCCTGCTTATCAATGTTTCTACACAAACTGACAGGAATTCTGATTCTGTGAATTGTCAGGAGCATGAAGCAGAAAATGTTGCTGTTAAGACTATTGGGAATCTTTGCAACGGGTTAGTTTGGTGTGCTTCTAGTAATAATTGAATATGGCTTTAAATGCGATCATTTTAAGTACAAGTGCTGGGTCATTCAAAATTTGTCCTATTGTCCACATATCACTAGTTATGGTAGTTATTTATGCTGAAAAGCTGGGCTTCGAAGAATTTCTCAGGTATTTATTGTGGCATGGTTTTTCATTTCGAAGGAAAAGCTGGTCAGAAGGAATTTGCTAATTGGCCTCACAGGAAAACAAAAGTTGATTGCCTTGGAATAAGAAATGTTGGATTGTACGAATAAGTCCTCGGTATATCATCCTACGACTCCGAAAAATCCTCGCTAGGCTTTCGTCTATTATGTGATAGATTCGTCAGAGCGAGAAATTACAATTTACGAAAATAACGTCAAATACAATAAGTCAAGAAATGAAAGGGCCACTGCACACTTCTTATACCTAACCTTGCGATATTAATCAGGCGTTCCATGATTTGTTTGGCTATTTTATGCTTATCATGTTTTCTTGCAGATTCCGTGCTTAAATAATCAAATTTATGATCCTGCAGTTTTTTCGCATGTATTGCGTATTTTGCCTATGT